GTCCATGCTAGTGAGAGTTAATGACAGTTTCTCTATTAAATTTTCTGATTAAAATGTTCAAGCAAAAGGTCTTTCTGCTTGTGTAGAACTGCTTTATGGGCACACGGGGAGCTGGTAGAAGATAATATAATCTGCCATTGCCGGGGGTTTTAACATGCTGCCCAATGGGCAGTATTGCTGTGAGCTTTACATTTTTCTGAACCTTTTGGCTCAACTGCAAGGCGATGCACATTAAAGCTGATCGTATCCTACACTTAAGTTACAATTTAGAGCATTATCTTCAGTTCCTATGAATGGTTTTTGAAGTATAATCTTTATTTTTTTGGAAATAAAGACATTTTTATGTGAGTGATACTAAAATTTGGAGGCCTGCCTGTAATTTTTTTCATTATGACAATTTCTTCACATTATTGTTTCTTAAACCTTACACCTCTCTATTCTCTCAATATTGAAACAATTCTAAAGGATCAACTAACCTTTACCTTCAGAAACATTTTTTATATATTTATTTTGAAAGAAACCTTATTTTTACTATTTGTCCTATGCACATAAAAGAGCAAGGCAGTCCAAGTTAACTAAGATGAATGAACTGAATTCTTAGTATGCTCACACTATGCAATATATTCAGGCACTAAAAATGGTGATTGTAGTCGGAGTCCCCTGTTATTCATCTGTGAAACTTTTCAAAGGTACACTTGCCTGTAATGACCTCGGGAGACTTGAATGAAATATTGATGAAGGAAGGGGCAGGGCTGACCTCGCATTGACGCTGGGCACCTGTATTTTGAACAAGGTACGATTGCTGCACAAAACCAAGGGAAAAGTGCTATTGATGGAAATTGTTTAGAAACATGGAAAAATATCCACAGTATGCAAAATAAACTTTTTATTGTGTATACTATGTTCCCCACTTGGAGGAAAAAAGAAATAGAGTTAACAACAATTATCTCTAATGCTAAATCACACAGCAATTCTAGAATGCCTAAGTTCTGGAGATCCAAACTTGCATCTGCAAACCAGTTCCTTTTTATTCCATAGGTTAATTATCAAAGCCTATAGCAGCAGTTCTCAACCTGTGGATCGCGACCCCTTTGGGGGTCGAACGACCCTTTCACAGGGGTCCCCTAAGACCATCGGAAAACACATATATAATTACATATTGTTTTTGTGATTAATCACTATGCTTTAATTATGTTCAATTTATAACAATGAAAATACATCCTGCATATCAGATATTTACATTAAGATTCATAACAGTAGCAAAATTACAGTTATGAAGTAGCGACGAAAATAATTTTATGGTTGGGGGTCACCACAACATGAGGAACTGTATGAAAGGGTCGTGGCATTAGGAAGGTTGAGAACCACTGGCCTATGGTATTCCCCTACTGCGTATCATTAGCTAAAGAGGGTGTTCCACATTATCAGCGGTAATTTAGGATTGGTTATATGTACATGGATATCTCCTTAATCGCTCATTCCTCCACTTGGCTATATGTGTTCTTCAAAGTCTTTCCACGTCCTGGGTCTGGAAGATATGTCAAATGTTGACATGCAGATCCGGATATCTTCTTGGAAAGGAAAACTAGAAAGCCAAGAGTTAAATGGAATTCTGTCTTAGTTCACATTCTTAGTGTATTTTATGGCCCTGATGGTAGTCTGATGTTAGCTAAAAGAGGCCATAAATCCCCAACAACCTCATACAGTTACAACAAATTTTGCTTAGAACTCCAGAAAATAGACCCAGTTATCTCTTTGCTCAATATGTCGCCCACACACACACTTTCAAGTCTTTCATTTCAGATGGCATTATCCTTTGAGAAATCTTTCAACCTGTGCACGGTGTGTCATCATATTTCCTTTAATTAATATGCATGAGTCACTATTTCTGGAGTTTTCGTCCTTCAGGAGAATTTGGGTCCCAGGACTTAGTCACACTTATTTGCCTATAAAATTTTCCCTGATCTTCTGCCTCAGGCAATCTGAACTGTGAACAGCCACTGAGATTGAAGTACTATTTCCACTTAAACAACTGTCATCTTATTATTGAGTTAGAAGAGTCGGTGGCACATTTAATCTCATCAGATATAGCATCCCCTTGCATGCTCACCAGGCTGTGTTAATGCCTGTTTGTCACCATCCCTAGGCTGCCTTTGTTTATTCTGCCTGTCAGAATCACACACTTAAGTGCAGTTGTTTTCATTATTAGCTTCTAGTGCTCTTCCCCTTGGATCCTTTACTTCTTTGGTGTATGATGGGAGAAAAAGAAAGAAGAGGGGATTTCTTTTAAGGTGTGCTTTTAAAATATCTTTCCATATTCTGTCTTGTGTAGTGTTGAAAGCTCTAGCCTACTCAGTGGTCCTCACTGTTGTTGACGAAGGGTGGGGTCTGGATTTGCTCAGCCAGACATAATACATAGGAATGGAGAAACCCAGGAAATGAACCTGTCAGCCAGCCTTTTCCCAGTTGACCCCTGCGATGAAATTGTCCCAGTCCTGCTTTATTTTATGTATCTACTGTTTGTTTTAGATTTACATTTTGATATGACATTCTTTTTGCTGGAGGTATTTTTCAATTGCAATAAATTGTATTTTGAGCTGTAACAATGCAAATACGTCAATATACTCTTCCGTTAGGATATGAAAACGTTGGTTGGGTTCGTGTTTTCACTCTGTACTAATAATTTACTTAGCATTTAAATTAGATCTTGAGATTTTGAAAGGATGTATGAGTCAGTGAGAGTGTTTATGAAAGGGAACTCTGAGGAATTTTCTTTTCCTACCACTTAAAGATATTGATCTGTTTCCATGGGGGAGGAAGAACTGTCCTCTACTCTCAGTGATCTAATAATTAAATAGACATGAGACAGATCAACAAGAGAAAATGACCATATTTAATTACATATGTAGAGTCAGAGACCCTATATAGGTTTGTAGACAGAAAGGAAATATGGGTATATAAGACGTCTGAGCTATGGATGAGGTAATGCAGCTTGGGGTTTCAGAAGGTAATTGCAGGGAGACCACATGCTCAGCAGTTGTTAGTTTGCCCTGCCATATATAAAGGTAGAAAGTCATTTATGATAATGACTCTCTTCGTGGGCCTAATTTAAATTGATCTAGACAGTTAAGGGAGGGGGGCAGAAATTTCTTTGAGCCTGCAGGGTCTCAGTTGCCTTTAGCTCAAAGTAATCCCCATACCACTGAGGCACATCCTATATAATAAAAGGGTAATTTGCAAATCAACCGAATGGTGGAACGACTGGTCGCTATGGTGCACACTGACCACCAGGGGGCAGACGCTCAATGCAGGAGCTGCCCCCAGCCCACAGGCTCCAATTGCCCACTGGCGAACAGGGAACTGGGGGGTGGGTGGCACTGGGGAGTAGGACCAGCTGCCAGCAGCCAGGGAAGATGGCCCTGATCGCAGGCCAGGCCTAGGGACCGTACCTGAGCACAAGTTTTGTGTGCCAGGCCTCTAGTACCAAAATAAAAAGACAGAGACAAAAAGCCTACCTCAGGACTTTTTCAGTTTTCCTTCTGCCAGGGATGATCCCGAGAGGATTATGGGAGAGAGGAAGCAGAGCCTGCCCTCAGCTTGAGAGTTTGTGGAGATAGAATCCCTCTTCTTTCTGTTTCTCTTGCTAACAAACTAAGGCTTGGTAACAATATGATTTTCTATGGTTTGTGAACCGTTGTAACTGCCAATTGATTCTTTCCTTCCAAATATCTTCTTTAATCTCCTAGGCTTACTGTGTTCTTTTGTAATAGAAAACAAAGCCTCAGGTTATATGAAGTCCATATTCCAGCCTTCTCCTGTTAGTTTTTTAAATGGTGCTATAAAAATCTCACGATGTGTGGTGTGTTTTTTTTTTAGACTTTAAATTCTTCTTTCCTGTACAATAAATGAAAGGCTTTTTATTTTCCCTGAAAGTTGTAAATCAAGTTGTCTTCTAGTAGGTTTCTGATCAACCACATTTTGCAAGTCATGGTGCTATAGTAGAACATTTTTCATTTTATAAATATGCATGTCTCAGATACATATTTTAGCAGCAAAGGATGCTTTATTAATTTTATCAACCAGACAAAAAGAGCTAAAAGATACAGTTTTACACATACCTGAGAATTAAGATCATTTGAGGCTATTTAGCATTTTTCTTTGTAAAGGTGACTTGTAAACTGCCCCATAAGACAGCAGTTTGAATGCAGACTAAAGGAGATGAGCCAAACCCAAATCAGGAAAGAGAGCTTGTGCTCAATATTGACCATCCATAATAGTATACTCAGCTTTGATTTCTTTCTTTGCTTTTCCTCTGAACTGATTTTTGTTTATTTTAATGTCTTTCAACCACTATTATTAGGAGAAAAAGAGAAAGGACATTGAGTAAGTTTCAGTATCCCTTTAACAAGTGCACAGCGCTCATCCTGGACAGTCATTTGTGTATTTTTTATAAAGATATATTTTCCACTTTTCTAGTAAATTGTTTCTCCAGATCATATCCTAGTGACTTCTGTAATTTTAAGATGGTAATAAGCTTGTACTGCATTATGACTCCTTTTGCTCAGGTTTGACCCCTCACTGTGGTTTCTGTTTCATGCGTGTGGTGCTGTGTGTTTTATGGCATTCAGTATTCTGCTGATATCTGGACAAAATATATTGTAAATCCATAGCCTGGAGCTTTCATTTATACCCACATAATGCTCTCATCACTTTAAAAGGGGCCTTCCATTTAAAAGTGTATGTGGGTGTATGTGTAGTTTCAACCTACTAACTCATTATTTTCTTTTTGTTAGGTAATAGTTTACTATCGTACTAAATTAAATGATCAAATCGTGCTCATCTTAAGGAATAAGACAATTAATACAGTCAGGGCATTCTATCCTAAGAGCATCAAAACACCTTTGTTATACAGCTGGTTGAACTGTTGAATAGTCTCTTGTGACATTTGTACAAGGAAGTGTAACTTGTATTCATATTCATGTATTATTTTCTCTTAACAGTTGACTTCAAACCTCGTGCCAGCATGGATACTGTCCATCATATGTTACTTTTTGGATGCAACATGCCTTCGTCCACTGGAAGTTACTGGTAAGGAATAATGGACTTATAGTAGAAAGGGGTGTAGAAAATGTGTGTGTTTAATAAGTACAGAGTGCATCTGTGCAAGTATTCTACAATTGATTAATAAATAGGCAGAATATTTTCTTTTTACAAAAGACCTTTGTTTTTTTGCATCAAGTCATTCTCATGTTTTGCTTACCATAGTTATTTCCTCTGCTCTGGAGCACATCCGTCGGTCTTTGACGTTGACTTAATAAAGATATGTCTGTTGTCACAGAGAGTGTGTGTCAAGATGCATGCAGCTTGAAAAGAAAGACTAAAAATTTAGATAATGGATACTCTGGTGTTTTGTTTTGTTTTTAAGTGCGTGAATACATCACCCTGGCTATATTCATTGGCACTTTTTGATCCCAGACACCAGGCTAGGTGATCTGTGTACACGATTTCATTTTACCCTAACATCTCTGCAAAGCAGGTATTATTACCCTCCCTTTACAGACAAGGAGCTGGGAGCTCAGAGACTCAGCAACCTGCTCAAGGTAACATAGCCAGTTAGTGTCAGACCAGGATTGAACCCTAGGTTGTCTGGTTCCAAATCCAGTTACTTCTATTTCACCACACTGTGTCTTATTTATTCAAGTAACTGTTGGCAGTTTTAGAATTTATTTTAATCACTGTGGTGAGCCTTAATACCAAGTCATGAACAATCAATAAACATCTATTAGATGCTTGTTATATGTCAGAACTGCAGCAGATGCTGTGGGAGGTTCTAAGATAAATAGATATGTTTTCTACCCCCAGAAGCTTACAGCATAATTATGGCTTGAGAGCTTCCCTTTCATTTTGTTCTTTGGTAGTAAGAAGATCAGTGAACTTTGAAAATAGCTGTGCATTTTAAGCCTCACATTTTGCACCAATTGTCAGAATCTGGTTACATATTTAACAGTGCAGAATGACTAGTGTGTCTTCCTTAGCATTGGGAAGGGGTCTGTTTTGTGGTCCTGTTTCTGCATGATCACGTAGGTTGATAGGCCTTTCTCTGCACATCCTAGTATGCATTAGGCTGATTCAAGGCATGCAGCAACTGCTTTCTAGTCATTTTTATAATAAACAATTGTTATATGTATTTGGAACTGTTAAAAGCACAGGGCAATTAGTAGAAATCTCCATGGACCAAGTAACATGAAAGCATTTGTTAATAGGCTTGAGTATTCAATGAAAGGGGCATATCACATAGGAACCTCTCTCACGTGACTGAGTTTATGCAAAAATGGAGTCAGCAAATCCCAGTTAATACCCTTTGATATCAACATTCCAGTTTTTCTCTCCAGTAGATTTTTGTAAATAAAATTTTGGAATTAAAAGATTATTCTCTGACAGCATTTCTGAATCTGATTTAACAAATTACATCCTTTGATTTTTATGTTTTTTAAAAAATTTTTTTCCTGAAATTAGCAAAATTTACCTTTGGATTCAAATGATTAAAAATAGCTAGAAGGGATGTGTGGACTTGAAAAATCTGCTTTAGCTTCACCCTGATTGAAGAGAATGAGTGAAAAAGTAAAATGTCACTTACATGTTGTTATGGTTCTGATTATTAAGGAAAAATATATAAAATGAACTAAGCCTAGCTCAGTGTTCTCATGTTAAGGGAATATCAGAGCAAACACATTATTTTGGCTATTTTAAAGTATTTATTCATATTCTTTAATATACTATTTTGATATTAAGTACATCCAAAGGAGTTCTAAGTTGAGGAAAGAGAACCCAAAGCAAATTGTGAATGAAAGTGAAAACAGTAATTTTGAGTAATGTAAATGCTACACACATACTATTTTGCTAAAATTATTACTGGCAAGGCAGCATAGTAGAAAGAAAGAGTAATGAACTCACTGGCTGGATTCCCTGGGCATGTTACCTGTCCTATGTGGGTTGGCCCTGGTTTTTCATTTTATCAAGATACTCTCACTAGACCAGGGGTCCTCAAACTTTTTAAACAGGGGGCCAGTTCACTGTCCCTCAGACCGTTGGAGGGCCGGACTGTATTTTTTAAAAAAAACTATGAACAAATTCCTATGCACACTGCACATATCTTATTTTGAAGTAATAAAAACAAAACAGGAACAAATACAATATTTATATTTGCATGTGGCCCGCGGGCCGTAGTTTGAGGACCCCTGCACTAGACCATTTATCTACAAAATTCCATAGTTCTGTGCATATAAGTTGTGTGCAAATGCTGAGTCAGGTTGAAAGGCATCATTATTGGGAGTTGGAGATGTGTGCAGTGGTTGAATCACCTCAAGCAGGCAGCCTACTGCCTTTTGCCATGGGGTTGCATCATTAAGTAATTAGAATTCTTAATGACATTATATCCATAGCATTTTAAATAGATTTTAAAAATCTGTCTGGCAGCCCATATTTCCACTTAATCAATAGGCTTGTTATAATTGACTTTGTAACTATAAAACAAGGACAGTAATCGATGCTGTTATTCATCTCCTTTTAACCTAGCCCAAAGTGTTCATCTGACATTTAAAAGTAGGATATATACGTTGTCTGTTCAATATGAAAACTGGGAGATATGCATTAAGTAAAACTGTTTCTGGTGACTGACTTCCGCAACCCAGCCATACTCTGCATTGAAAGATGGGATAGACGTTTTTATCCCCCCTAATATTAGCAACATTCATTGGTCTTTAAAGAATTAGAGCTCTCGGGATATTTTATGGGATGAACTTTTCAATTGCTTCACAAGTATATCCTCGGTTCCCGACCCCCAACGCCACACAGGCTCAGCCCTGGAACAGACAGCGGATGTTTTCCAGCTGCTTAGCCTCTTATCTGTCCCACATGAATTATAATACCAGCACCAAAATCTATCACTGTCCGAAGCCCTGCATTATTTATCTGAAATATCTAAGTTGTGGAATTTATCACACTCATTTTACAGATGCAAATCTAATTTTCAGTTGCTCTAAGATACAGACAGTACTTAACAGATTTCCAAATTTCACCTATATTTTTTGGTCATTATAACTATAATGGTTTTTGATGCTTCAGAATATCAGAAACCTATTCACACTCTAGAGAAATCTTTATGGAAAAATAAGGATGCCCTAGTGAAAGAAGGAAAAGCTAATATTGGGATATTTTAACACCAAAACATCAAGCTAGGATTTCCTCTCTTCACTGTTGGTTAGATAAGGTTTCCCTGTTTTCACTTGGCTGCTCTATTTTCATTGCCAGCAGGTTGGCAAATAGGTCTGTGTCTCTAATAAAGTAAAACATTTTCCCTGAAATTATGAAGTTATAATTCATCCCCTGTCTTCAAACAGCACTTTTAATATCGAGGCAAAGAGCTATTCTGATGATGTTTCACCGCTACAGTGCCCTCCTTTGCTCTTTGTAATTGCCTCTTTCTACTGTTCATTAAAATATATTTACAGTTATATTAAGTTTACGTGAAAATAGTAGACACAGCATGAAGCAGTTTTCATTATGTAGTCATTTTAATTCTAAAGTTTTTTTTCCTCTGCATATATTCGTCTTTTGTGTCTCATTCCAAATTAGCAGCTCACACTGGTAATGTGTCTAGTTAATTATATGCATGTGCATTTAAATTGCACACATTGATGTGAACCTTTTAATATACTGTAGGGTGGTCCCTTTATGGTTAGAGTGGGCCCAGTGCTCAATTCCGAATTTACATATCTCTCGAGGATGCAAATCAGGACCAGCTGGTGGAAAAGCAGCAGCTCTGCTGGCCCATGTAAAGAAGGCAAGAGTGCCTGTCAGATGCACCCCACACACCTTCTTTCTCAGGCTCTTATTAGAAACAACTAAAACATCTTGGGACCAATGGAAAGTAATAGCACCAGGCTTGGAGCAAGCATAGCTATCGCATGACTTGTTGGACTTTATTTGAGCTTGCAGACTTCATTGAAAGCAGAGCATTCCAAGTTCCTCAGATTTGCTGGCTACATAGGAGCCATAGGTGAGCAGATGCTCTTTGGGGCTTTTTAGGGTTAGTCCAGGAAATGAGGTGGTGAAAACTGAGTCATTTAGATATAAAAATGTTATTACCGCTCGCCACTAAAAAAATAGCAAATTTTAGGAAATCTTGGAAAGTTAAATATTGCATTTATCTATTTTATGAAAACTTTCTCCACTTTTTTTTTACTCTTACAATAAAATTTTAAAAATAAATGGTTAACTACAAAGAGTCCCAGGATTTGAAAAGCGTGGTATTTTCTTCATACAAATTGCTTTGGCATGTGGGGTAATCCTGGAGTACTGGCTTTTTGTAGTGTGAGATCCTACAGGCTTGTGTACCTCTATTCTGCTGAGTACAGCACTTAAGGCTTAAAGCAATTTATGACTGTCCACCCAGGATTGTGTTCATAATACTCCATGATTAAAGTAAACAGGCCTCTTATGTATCCTGTTTTGTACTTTGGCGTGATCTTCTATGCAGAGCTAAAATTATATTTAGTCATAGCAGTTAATATTTGATTTGAAAACTATTCCTAATGACGCTTATCACGACCAACTACTCTTTATAAATGAAATATGGCTCCTATACGTTGTTTGATCTTTTTTGAGAAGAAGAATCCCAGCTGATTAAATGAGGCTGTTCCTAGCTGTTCTAACTTGGAATCATTCTCCAGCTAAAGCAGTAGTACTTTACCATCCTATGAAGCTTTAGCTTAAACCCCTTTCCATTGCTTCTATTTATTAACCACCTGCTGTGTCTTTTTAAATGCCACTATCTCCACAGGGTTATAGATGCTGATGAAGGGAAAGAGAAAATAGCTAAAACATATACGTAAATATATATAGAGAGAAGCATGTATGTGAAACACCCTGCTTGGTTACTCATTTAAATGACTCTTTTGTCAGTTGATGTTATTAAAACTTCCTTGCTTCCCTCATGATGACAATGATCCTTTGGTTGAATATGATATTTGCTGCCTGTATGCACCCACTCTGTATCCCGCTACCTGTCATCTGTACACTATGCAGTA